CATGGCTCGCTCGTGTTCGGCTCGTTTACACCCCTAGGCTCAAGAAGGAAGTTCGATCCTTGTGGCAGCTGAAGCAAGGGGAAAATGAGAGCCTACGATCATCTATAACGTGTTTCCAGAGCGTAACGCTAGATTTCAAATATCTTAAGCCCGACATGGCTCAAGCTGCGCTGACACAATGAGTAAAGTCGAAGAGGTTCCATTTCAACCTCAAACTTGCTAAACCAGAGAGCTTGATTGAGCTATTGGAGATGACCAACAGATACATTGTTACCTACGAGAACATTCTTGAGCCTGCCTAGCAAATGCATCAGAAAAGACCTCCGCAGGATATCGAAGGACAACCCAGACAAAGCGCACGACCACTCCACCCCGAAAACCACTCCACCCAGTGCTGAGAAGGCCGGAGGCGGCTGACTAAACCCCAAAACCGTCGATCGTCGTACCATCAGGAGCAACCCCGGTATAACCACAAGTTCCCCCGTGAGACACCGCTTCTAGTATCCATGGTAGAGATAATAGACGCCATCCAAGATAAAGACTTCCTTAGAAAGGCGATGCCGATGAGGGACGCAACTTTTATTCGGGATAGCAGGAAGTACTACAAGTACCACAGAGACCACGGGCATGACGCAGAGAAATGCAGACATTTGCGAAGCCTGATCGAAGAACTGATCAAGGAAGGAAAGTTGAAAGAATTCGTCACCTCTGGAGCTGCGACCCAGAGGCAAGGAAAGACTCCCGCCGGAGGAGCGACCGACGACCCCATTCACACTAACGTCATTAACATTGCAAGGTACATGTCTGCAATCTTCGGAGGAAGCGAGCCACCCAAGAAAGAGCAGCATACAATGGAGCTCTGCATCACCACCTTCACTTCGAAGGGCAAGAACCATCCACCTATCTTTTTTACTAATGAGGATCTTCTCCAAAAGGGAAATCCATATAATGATGTTATTTTAATAACTGTTATAATAAATAATTATTAAGTACAAAGTATTTTAATTGACACAGGTAGCTTTGTGAATGTATTGTTTAAATTGTTGTTCGTAAGTTGAGCCTCGCCGTCGATTAAATGACCGCACTAGCTGGTCTGCTGTATGGATTCTCCGGTAAGAGGGAGGTACTGGGAATGATCAGGCTCTCAGTAAGTTGTGGGGGAGAAAGAGAAACAATTCACCCTTAATGAAAATTTTCTCATTGTGGATTTGCCCCCAACCTACAACTTCATTTTTGGTTGATCGTTGTTGAACGACTTCAGAGCATTAATCTCCAATTACCACGTCATTGTGAAGTTTCATGGAGACGGAGAAATCATCACAGTCAGGGGCGACCCAGAGCAGTCTCGGGTATACTACTTAAAGTCATAAAGAATGTGAAGCATGACCCCCTGCATATCCAGACGCGAGGGAGGGTGGCCTCAGGACCAGCGAAGCCAATCGCGAAGTCCCGGCGGTCGAGGGAGATCTAGGTAGTTGTTTTTTTATCAACGGGGCTTTTGATGCAGGTCACAGGAAGCTGCTGGTCCAAACCCTTTGGGAGAACCAAGACGTTTTTGCGTGGACGGTCGCTAAGATGCCAGGAGTGTTGATCGATGTCGCGTGCCACAGGCTAAATGTTGATCAATGGGCTCAACCCATGAAACAAAAGATCAATAGCTCAACCATGACACTAGCAGGACCTATCTGAGAAGAGGTGCAAAAGGAGAAAGTTGTCGAGTACATTTGAGAAGTGCAATACCCCACCTGGGTCTCCAACGTGGTGATGGTCCAAAAAAGCCAATGAAAAGTGGAGGATGTGCTTAAATTTTACCAACTTGAACTCCGCTTGTTCGAAGGACTCTTACCATGCCAAGGATCGACGACTTAGTAGATCCAGCTATTGGCCACTCGGTTCTGAGCTTCCTTGATGCATTCTCTGAATACCACCAGATCAAGTTGCACCTAACTGACGAGGAGAAAACTGTCTTTATCACTTGTGAGGGTGTTTTTTGTTACAATGTAATGCCCTTTAGGTTAAAAAATACCGGGGGCAACTTATCAACGCCTCATGGATGTAATATTTGCAAATAAAAAAGGAAAAAATATTGATGTGTGTCGATGTACTAGTTAAGAGTTGGTATGTGGAACAACACATTAAAGACTTAAAAAAAAGCTTCCAAACACTTAAAAAATTTAACATGAAATTAAAACCGCTAAAATGCACTTTCGGAACCACTACCGGTAAATTCCTGTGATACTTGCTGACACTTGAAGGCATAAAGACAATCCCAGACAAGATCCAAGCACTCTCTACTTCAAAGCCTAAAGCTGAAAGAGAAGCTCCATCTTTACCTTGGGGCTGGTCCCAAGGCCGTCAGCTCGGTCTTGGTTAGAGAAGAGCTTTGGAAGCAGCATCCAGTCTACTACACCAGCTGAATTCTCAAGGGCTCCGAATTCCAGTATTCCGTCATGGAGAATTTCACCTCGCCTTGGTCACTTTAGTACGGAGGCTTCGACCGTATTTTCAGATACATCTTATACAAGTTATCACGGACAATCCGTTGAAGCCATTTGAACATGAACTCACCACCCAACCTGAAAAGGTCATCTTGACCATCTCAGGGATGAGCGACGAGGACCTTTATAACGGCTGATAGTTCTGAGCATAAGCGAGTAACCTCTCCTTTGCTAGCAAGCACTCCCCCGGAAGGCCGCGAGCTCCTCACACAACCCCGCAATTTCTCTCTCCACTTGCTCAACTCTCTTGAGGACCTCAACAACCCTTTCGTCTCCTTCTCCTCGGGGGTACCCCTCCATCTCGGTGAGGTGGCGGAGGATGAAGTCCGAGGACACACGATGCACTCCGATCACCTCCTCATCCCTTGCAGCTTTGAGGAGGGTCTGATGGTTGTCACCTTGAGCTCTAGCACCCGGACCATCGACACTCCGCTCGACACCTTGCTCCAGAGCTTTGAGCCCCACCATGTCTCCTCCCGCCGCGACCTGTGCCGCGCTCGCCCCCTGGACCTCAACTTGGTCCACCTCCGTTGTATCATCATTGGGGTGCACATCAGTATCTGCCAATAAAGAATTGATAGTCAAGGCCTCGGTCGCTGAAAGGAAAGGAACAAGGCTAATCAAACTGCATGCCAAGGGTCCGCGCTCACTCAGATGTGGAATAAGAATAGAGATATTCACTCACTTTTTACAATCCTCCACCTTCTGAGGAGAAGCCGCTCCTAGCCCGGCGAAGCCATGTCTCAGCCTCGGCTACCGCCTCCTCAACACTTCTCTGGGGGATCACGACTCCCACAGCCGCCTGAGCAAGTATTCTCATTTCCGCAGGTTAAACACTCATCCTAAGTGGACGCTCCGCAGGAGGGTCGTCTGTACGGTCTCTCACTTGACCTGCAACCCTCTCCTGAGGAGGGTCCGCAAGGAAACCTGAAGAGACGGGCCAAGTCTCACGATCGCTAGCACTGTGCTTAGACATAACCCTCTTCACATCCAGCTTGCGGGTTTGCGCCCGCATGTCATTCATCGCCTTGAGGAGCACACTCTTGTCGAAAGGTAGGACTTCTTCGCAAGATATTGCGGAAAAAAGGTAGGGAGGAAGATACAGGACAAAGGAATCGAAAGGCACTGAAGGGGTGCAAACATCCCTTGCCCCAAAACTTATTTATAATGGTATGGGCACGAAAATCCAGGGAAGATCATTATTGAACAATAATATCATATTTTTATTTATTCTTTTATGTATACATGATCAAAAAATTCTCGTCCTCGTGTGCTTGAAAACTTCCAAGAAGCAAGAGAATCGGGGAATTGAATATGTACACATGAAAATGTGTTCGCACGAATCTCAAAATAGATGAGCGGCCTAAGAAGGAAGTATAACCGATCGGATGTAGCAATAAATGATTGTTTTAGATAAATAGTAACGAAGAAAGCACAATAGCTGAATGATCGACAGAAGATGACAAAAGAAAGTCTCTCATGACTATCATCAGCAATTAGAATGATCAATGGGGGGCACTCCTTTAGATCATGAATAGATTGAACCAAGACCTGCCAGACGATCGACAACCCTTATCGATCGAATAGGTCCCGTGCCTTATTATATACAAATAACCTTTTATATTACCAAAAAGCCTCCTGAAATGCTAACGATTAGGGGGCTGTTATGTACTTTTATAATATAGGACCTAGGAGTCCATATTATGAATAAAGGAGACCCTTTGCTTGTCTACTACTGCTCATTCTCTCTCTCTCTCTCTCTCTTAATTGTCTCCTAATAGAATGCTCCATTCCTTGGGCGTGTTTGCCGGACAAACTCGAATTCAACAATTATAAATGTAAATATAAAAATGAAGGTGCCAGATATTTAAATCCATAAGAATTGTGTGCCGCATGTAAATTTTCTTCTTTGCAATTTGTTGGGACTATGGTGATTTATTTTCTGTTGTCTATTGTCGACAATAGGTATGCTTATGCTGTTGCCAGTGCATTGCATGGAGTTCAACATATTCTACATAAGAATTTTATGATTCAGGTGTCACCTGCCATTTTTCACTCATTATTTTCATTTTCCTGATTTTTTTTTTCCTTCTTTCTTTGTTCATTTTTTGAATGATTTACATACATACTACTCAATTCCTATATACTTAAATATCGAACATCTAAAATTCAATTTTTACATACATACCATCTTACCCATGCATGAAAAGGAGCATGCCACTTTTAAAATGTTGCAATGATGGTATTTTTATGTGATATGACAGATTTTGGTGGTATTGATGTAAAAACTAAAATACAGGTGTTAGATATGTAATACATTGGAATTGTGTGGTATGAATATAAATGCCCCTTATATATATTTTTTGAATTGGTTGTAAAATTTCTATTCAATATATATAATAATGTTTGGTTTCAGCCTCCTTGGGATTTGAAGGTGGGGAACACTTTCATCATTCATTACACTTATGGTTGTGACTATTCTTTAAAGGTTAATATTTTTTATCTGCATTGAAGTATTATTCTTATGGCACTTGTTCATCATATGATATATTTTAAGAATAATTACATACTTAGCACACAATTCTTATATATTTGCATATCTCACACCTAAACTTTTATATTTACATACACAACAATTTGGTTCTTTGAACTTGTGGATGAAAATGTGTGTTTCACTTTTAAAAAGTGATAATTGTGCTATTTTGAATGTGATATTAAATATTTGAGTGTGATGCGTGTAAATTTTTAAGTTTAGGTATGACATGTGGAAATGTATAAGTGTAAACTCAAAAATGGCGTATCATTAGTACCAGGACTTGAGTCCGGTTGTTGATCCAACAGAGAATAAGATAAACTCAATTAGGAAAAGTTCTAGCCTACAATTCTTAGTCCAGTCTGAAAGGTTGAAGTTTTGAAGTTTAATAAATGTTCTTAATCTAATTTTTGAAAATGAACAAAATCTAAGTTTTAAAATAATTAAGATAAACTAATGATGATTAAGTTGTCCCAAGTATTCTCCTTTGAAGTGCTTATGTAGGGATTTAACTTAGCAAATGATTCATTAAATGTGTCAAAGAGGAGAATAATGAAATTTTTCTTATCTCCTTCCGGTTGTCTAAGAAAGATTGACAATTCATTCCTTTAGTTCCCTAATTCAAATGAAAAGTCCAAGACAACCATGCTCCCTAATCAATTTGCATGAATTCAAAGGACATATTTCTATTCCAATGAGTTCATGTGGATAACTTAATCATTCCTTATAGATCCTCCCGAAATTTTATTATCACGATTAATTTTAACAAATTAACTGGTCAAGTTAATAATCTACGAGTTCCTAAGTTATTGCAAAACCATTTAGCAATTTCTTACAAAATTCACACCAGTTTGCTTAGCCCTTATCCCTACACTTTCACAACAAAGGAGAACAGAAAAAATCTACTTACTAAGCAAGCCAAATTTCATCAAAATCAACTTTAAATTAAAAGTAATCTCATATACAAGAGTCTCGGCATTGTCTCTTAAAGAAGAACAGACAAAAACTCAGAATACTTATCTCCCTTAGGTCCAACAAATGCAGATGAATTACAAGCACACTCGCAATCTCTCCATCTCACAAACTCTCTTTAATCTTGCTTTAAAACTTTTAATTCCCTTGTTAGATGTGTGGCCTTCTCCTCCAAAATTTTCTTCTCCTCTAAGTAAATAAGTGAGCATATCAAAAAGCCACCCCAACCCCCCTGAATTCTTCTGCCCCACTCATATATTCACTCCTGATTATCTCAAAGTCTAAATTGCTCTAATTGCCAATTTCAATTTTGGGTGCCTAGGCGCCAAGCTCTCGGTTTGGAACCGCACATCTGTTCCCTAAGCGGCCACTATCGCGGCTCTTAAGAGCCCATAACAACGCATTGGTGCCCAATTGTTGGCACTAGACGCCAAGCTCTCAAATTTGTTGCTCAAATTTAGATGTTTATGGCGCCTAAAAGCCAATATCTAGGCGTCTAAGCGCCCGGTAGTACATTTTTGCTTCAATCTTCATTATGTTCCAATTTGATCCCTGATGTTCTCCTTTCCTGCTATCTCCAACGAAAATAACAAAAACCTTCCTCAAATTGCAATATATTTATTTAAAATTAAAAAAAAATACAAATAACAGCAAATGCAAAAATTATCAACGAATCAGAAGTCTTCCTCTTCTCTCTCTCTTCTCTCTCATTTCTCCCCCACCCCCTCCCTCTCGAGCACCTCTCCTCGGTCCAACTAGATAGATCTAGATTTCACAATAAGAATGGTCTAGTATCTACATAAATGCCCCTATATATTTTATTCTTTTCTTTTCTTAATTAGTTTAATATTTTTGAATTTTGAAGGGTGAGCTGACTTATGGAAAGATTGGGGAATGGCGGTTTGACAAAAGATCGCACATTCGAGGTCCTCCGCCGAGGAACCTTTCGTTGCCCCCATCTGGAGTTCCTGAAAGTGTGGTATGCCTTGTATTCCAAAGTACATACATACTATTCAATTTCTATGTATTCACACATCAAATACCTCATTTCACTTCGTAAAAGTTAAAATGATGATATTTTTGATGTGATATGAAAATTTTGGGTGGCGTAACATACATAGAATTCAGTGGTATGTATATACATGCCCCTAAAATTTACTTTTTACATTTATACCAACCAAAGCTTTCATATCAAACAAAAAATTTCTCTGTTTTAACTTTTTAAAAAGTGATATACACCTTTTTATGCAGGTAAGATAGTCATATGTAAAAATCAAAGTTTATGTGTTAGAAATGTAAATATACAGGAATTAAATGGTATGCATGTAAGTCTTCCCTTTTGGTCCCTTAAATCAGCTGTTCTGAGTTACATAAGCTGTCATGATCAGGTCAGGCTGGTGAAAATGGTGAACGAAGCTACTGCAAATATTCCTGGTTGGGAGCAAGGAAAATAGAGTCAGAAAGCGAATTAACAATTTCTAATTTGCAGAAAGCCTCTGATTTGTGCTGGAACAGTAATTTAGTTTTTATTTAGTAGTGAAATTTCATTTAAATGTTAAGTTCGGGGCAGCTTTGGCTTATCTGGAAACGCAGACCGCGGGGCTTGATCCGCATCCCGCATTTAGTGTAAAAAGTCGACTGTGTTTTTGGATAAGCTGCTCAAACGTAATTTTCAAACGGTAAGGCGGTGTTTTTAAAATGCGGCCGTAGTGATTAAACTGCCCCAAACTAAGCTTCAATTGCTGTAAAGCATAAATATAGTTGAGAATAACGTTATAACAAAGTTGGAGTTTGTTGAGATGTATATTGGAAGTTATAAAGATGAGGGGGCCATCGTGCAAATGGTTTTCATCTATATGGAATACTGAGGTCATTTTTGTAATTTTTGAACGTTAATGGCTTTGATATTATTATAAAATATCATACAGATTTGACATCAATTTTGCAATTTTGCAATTTTGCATGTAATTAGAGAGAAAGAGGATTGTGAAAATTTATCCTCCACTCTTGATAGTTTATTTGAGATCACTTTGATTTTCTTTTTTTATAAATATTATTTTACTGTTTTTTTATATATTTTTATATTTTTTATTTTTAAAATCAAATTAACTTGTTTTAAAAAATATTTAAAATTGTTTAAAGTTATTTTGAGTGTTTCTTAAAATAATTGAACATGTAAATATATATATTTTTTGAATTAAAAATATAAATAAAATAAAATAATAATAAAAAAAAGTGATCTCAAATAGCCTCTAAGCAATCAAGTTAAGGAACTTGATTGATTTTGATAAAAGCAGTTGAAATGATGCTCTTATAACTTATAAAGAGGTCATCTTAATAAACCGTTACTCCAAACATCACCCACATCACTTTTTTGCTTATCTGCACTTCACCACTATGCTCACCGATACTTCTTTTCTTTTTAATCGCTTTTGTAAAACCCACATGTCTAGTTATATTCAACAAAATTATCAAAGGGCCCTTAAATGCATGTTTTCTTTCAATTTACATTTATATATGTAAATTTAATTAACAAAGTGCTATAAGATAACTCTTAGGACTCGTTTGGCGTGATTTATTTGTCGTAGTGCGGCGTGAAAACACTGATTGGCGCGTTTGGTAATGCGGTGAGGCGATTTTTTGGATAATCCATATGTGCTGCCAGCGTTTCTTCATGATTCTTTTATGGGGTTGCCCCGCGGTTGTTTCGTCCCGCTCTTCACTCTCTCGAGCCATTCTCCCCTCTCGAGATTTTTCCCCTAAAGCAACATTCCTCTTATGACCCTCTTTGATCCATGGCTCTAATGGCCAGGGTTTGGTTTTGTTGGTTCCAACAGCTGTTGCGGTGAGCTTGCCTTTCTTTTTCTCTCCCTCTATTCTTAGTTCTTCGGCAAGGTTTGGATCATTGGCTCTCTGTTCGAGTGTTCATCTCCATCTACCCATCTGTTCAGGTAATCTCTACCTTATTTATGAGGAAATTTTAATTTTGCAAATATTTATGTTTGATGATTTTTCTGGGTTCTTTGTGCTCTTATCGTTCATTAGTTTTTAGTTGATATTCAATTTTTGAAATTTTCTAAATTCTTTGTACTATATTTGGTTGATGATTTGAGTTCTTTATGCTATATCAGTCTGATGAATTTGATTTCTCTTAGCTCTATTCAGTTAATTTTGTTACCGGAAATTTGGTGGTTGTGGCAATTGCATGTGGAAATTAATTGAAATGTAATGGGTTATGTTGTTTTGCTATATTGCTCTAGTTTGTGGTGGTCGTGATTGTGTGGTTGTTTCTTAAAATGATGGATTATGCTTGTGGTGTGGAGGTGATGATGTGTGGTGTGAATATGGTGATGTGTGGTGTGTAGCATAGAGGTAGTGGTGTGGTGTGTGGATGTCTTGGCATGTGGTGTGTAATTGGTGGTGCAACCTGTGGAAGTGTTGGTGTGTGAATATGGAGGTGGTGTAGTCTGTGGAAGTGTTGGTGTAGAAGTGGTGATGTGGTGTGAATGTGCAGTGTGGAGGTGATGGTGTAGTGTGGACTGGTGTGGAGGTGGTTTGTCGGTGGTGGAGGTAGTGTGTAGGCAGTGGTGATCATAATTTGACAATGTCACTTTACTTTGAATTGTGGTTATTATTTTTTATGGCAAATATTTCTATTTTTTAATCTTATTAATATAATGGTTAAGACAAAAGAAGTTGGTTCATCTGCTTACTTGAGACTTGCATCGAGGATTGAAAAGGTGCAAACAAGATGATAGAGTTGCGGGAGTGAAATATAGATGCTATAGTTGGAGGCTAAATGTAAGGAGTGTTTTTTTTATTGCTTTTTTTATTTGCAATGTGTTGTGAAAATATTTATTGTCTGATATATTAGTATTTTATACAAATCATGCATATTTTGAATCTCAATTTTATTTCTATTTCTTATGCATGTATTCATCCCCACTTGGATGGTCGACAAGGAACCGTAGAAAAAATATCTAATATAAATATATATATATGCTGAGAATATATATATATATATACATGTTTATGATGAGACATTTGACCAAAAGAGTTCTTCTAGATTACCTATATGTCATTATTGGTTCTCATCACGTGTGACATCCCGATGAAAACATCCAAGTTCCTCTTCTTTTTTGAGTGTTATGGCTTTCAAGGTCCTTCGAGGTCCTTTTAGATGGCTTTTTTTTGTTGATATACATATTTGATACACATGGACTCGGTATTACGTGGTTTAAAAGCAACAAATAACTATTTTTTTTTAAGGCTTATTGTCTTGAAGTAACAAATTTGTGAGTTTATAAACTGTGTTCTCTAAAACCTCACAACTACATAAAACTTTAATTGAATACATCTATTCTTCAATTTCACTAATGTTGCATCTAAATGTTACTGTTTTGTGATTTTAAATTTCAAGCAAACATGAGCTCAGGTACCTCCAAAGTATTGTACTACTTTTGCAGACTTCAATACTCCTTGCTTACTTCGGCACACTCCTATAATTACAAGAGACAATTTTACGTGTCCAAGAAGAAGAACAGAAAATGAGGACTTATTTAGGTGGGCAAATAAGATAATGATTAATCATGAAGAGTTTCCTTGGAGGACTCCTTATGCATGATTTACAAAGTATATTTTAAAAATAATATTATCATATTATTAATAATTATATTAATAATTCTTCCTTAATTTTGAATGTCATACTCTTTAGTGAGGTATTTATTTTTTATTTTGCAATTTTCGAACGTGATATTTGTCATAATGTTGTTTTGTAATTTGCATGACATGCCAACATGATTAGTTTTGTTATAAACATTATAGTATATGGGTAGAATAACCATTTATCCAAAAACTGCTATAACACATTGTAAAAAACAAACTGTCAGCTAGCTTATCGGCAATAACTTTTAAATAAGCGGTAGCTTCCCCGAACAAACCCTTAAGATGATTTCTCAAATAATTTTAAGCTTTGAATAATTATACAAAAAAGATTATCAAAAGGCGATGATGCAATTCTCATGAATTATTATTAGAACAAAATTAGCCAATGATTTGCATGCGTATTTTTGGATATATTTCTTGTCCAAGTTACAAACTATTTTTAGTATATCATAGAGCATTTAAAATCCTATTTATGAAATTTATTTATTATTTTTAAGATAATTTTAAATATGAAAACAAAAAAAAGTTTCTTATTGAACCCATTCTTTAGAACTTGGCACATTTTTGTAAGAAGTGAGTTTCATGAACTATCAATGGTTCATTTAAAAATCATTACAAACATGCTATACAATTTTTTTTTTTATATAAATTGTTAAATTATATATTTCAATAAATAAAAGAAGTTATATAGAACTTATAATTGAAATAAAATAAATTCATTAAATACATTTATATCCAAAGTTAATAATATTACAAAACCTTATATAACATTAATCCACTTTCAAGAAACTTGCTTTCCAATGTGTTAAGCAAAAAAGCTCTAGGGAACACACCCAGGGAATGCAACATTCTACAAAAAAGTGATTAAGATAAAGAGAGAAAGAACAATAATAGACAAACAAAAGATGTATTATTCATAATAGAGACCTTTTTTATAGGCCTAAGTTTCAATATTACAAAAGTACATATTAGTCACATAATTATTAACCTTTTTGAGATGTGTGTAGGGTAGCCTTCTTGAAAGTTATTGACATATAATAAAGCTAACAAGTAATTCAATTGAAGAGCAATGTCGATCATCTAACAAGCATTGGTTCAATTGATGTGATCTGAAAGGGCACTACCATTGATCGCACTAAAGGCTGATTACCGCCTTTACGGGATTTCCTCTTGGCATAGTCTATCCGTCGTTCAGGTGAATTGCTTCCTTTGCTACACTCAATCGCCCACATCTCTTTCACGAGCCGCCCATTTGCTTTGAGATTCATGTGGATCCATATGTACACATTGGTTTAGTCATGACACAGGCTAGTGGGAGAAAGGGAGAGGGAGAAAGAGGAAGAGAAGAGAAAACATAGTTTTGATCATCAAGCCATTGGAAAATATGTCATGCTTAAAATAGCTAATCATCACCCTACTTAAATATTTTATGATCTTACTATTGGGGAAAATTTTAATATTTAATTTGGACAAATTTGCAACAATCGAGACGTCCTTATATTTCAAGCAAGTTTAATTGTGTAATTTTTAGCAAGTTATTACTCTAGTTATTATGAATATCTTGGTATAATCATAATTTTTTTTTCAGGGCATACATAGATTTTAAATAATTTTGAGCATCTTGATGAGCTTTTAAAAGTTGATAAATTAATTTTGACATATGACCAGCATTGTGATATTCGGTAAAACTTGTCTGTAGCTGCTTGAATTAAATACATTGATAGCTCTTATAAAAGCTATAATTTTATTATAATTGTAAATCCTTATTATGATCCTAAGTTCCTGAAGGTTCTGGTGGTGGTGGGGCTCATGCAGGGACCTAGTGCCTTAACAAGAATTGTGACTTCAACACATGCTTTGATACAGGTAAAACTAGATCTGCCTCCCGTAGATTTGAAGCTTAATGGACCAACAAATTATTTTAGCTATTTTCTTCAGATTGATGGAGCTATGGCGAGAAGAGATTATAGGAATATCTCACCGGAGATGAACGAATAAGTAACATTGCCAAGAAAAATAAGTGGAGAACCACTCACGTCTTTGTTTACTCCCGGTTGCTGAACTCAATGGGCCCATCAATTGCATCCTTTGTCGATGGCATTTGAAAGATCTGAGACATATGGGCAAAAAAGAAAAAAAATTTATGCTGGCAGTGAGAACCACTTGACGGTATATTCCAAATTCAAGACGAGATAGAAGCTGTGGTACAAGATGAGAACAATTTAG